CCCCCCCCCCCCCCCCCCCCCCCCATTCTAAACCTTTACATATTCAGTAAAAATCTAAATCTGGCACTTCATCCACATGCTTAGAGGATGTATCCTCAAGATCATAGAGCATATATTTCTGTTTAACAGCATCTGAGTCACAGTAGATGTAATTTCTGTAGTCCATTGAATCAAGTATCCTGTCTGAAAACTCTAGCAGAATTTATAAGAAGCTGTATAGAAGCATGGAGAAGTCTGTACTTCCTATGTTTACTTTAAAATAACACTGTGTAAATCTTTCAAAACAGTACATGAGGACCTCTGGCATAATGGGAGAAATGTTCTCAGAATGAAAATGACAGATGTGTTATAAGGATAATGGGGAATGGGGCGAAGAGTTTCTTTTCCACTGGCTAAGACAGACTTTTAGGACTTGCTAGTTAGTCAAGGAAGACATTTTGAAGGAATGATTGGACCTGTTGCATGAAGGCTTGATTTTTTTTTTTTTTTTTTTTTTTACTGTGATGTGAAATACTGACAGCTAATATCTGCACATCAAAACAGAATCATAAATTGCGATAAATTCTCATAAACTTATTTTGTACTGCTGTCCAAAAGGAAATCAGCTTGATAATTTCTATTTCTGATTAAGTTATTTGCTTTAAGGAGAAACAAAGGGATTTGGGTGTTAAGTACTGCTTTAGTTTTGTACCCAAGACAATTTTGAATTTTAGTTGTTACAATAACATAATAGTTATAGTTTAGGGCATCTGAACTATATTAGTTTCTTATCCTGAAGAAGACGTTAAAGGAGCTCTACAACCAAATAAAACCACAGATAAAGATCTCTAAGAATAATGCCAGACAGAAGAAGAGAACAAAATTTCCAGAAATGGACTGGCTGTGGAAAGCATTGGTGTGAGGAGACTCATTACCCTTTGAGAAGCTATATTTATTTTTGGTTTAGGTCTGTACTGGGCCTGGCAGGGTGGGGTTAACTTTCTTCATAGCAGCCCCTATGGTGCTGTGCTTTGGATTTGCAGCTAAAAGTGTTGATAATACACCAGTGTTTTGGCTGCTGCTGAGCCTTGCTTGCACAGCATCAAGTCTGTCTCCTGGCTGCCACTCTAATTCACTGCTCACTACTTCCCAGTCTTGATGAATGAGAAGAAGAAAAGTTCTACAGCTGAGCAAGAAATTTGCTAGATAATTTTTGCTGTTAACAACTATCTCCTCATTTGTCCTATCCAGGTGATCTGATAAGTGACCAGAATAAATATATCTGGGTGATTGTTTACTCTAGAAAGGAGTGAAAAAGTTTAATTACCCTAAGGTTAATTGATATGTTGTATTCCTGTCCTCATGCTAATAATCTAATGCTAAGGTGTTTCTGTAGTTTTGGAGAAGAGTATTTTATTGACTTTAGCTGGGGGCAAGCTTTTTCTTGGAACATCAAGCAACAGTTCTAACAAATACTGCTAAGTTGCAGAGGAGAATGGGAAATTTGCAATTAATAGCAGATAAGGACAGCTGCTGTTAGCAGAAAATTCCTAGGTTTTTATTTTATTCCCATGCCTGTTATTTTCATTCAAGAAAACGAATTTGATTCCTGTCCTTTTGTGCGTTGCAACTGGCAATATGTTGAAACGGTAGCCTTGGAGATTCTCCTTAGTGATGCTTTTGATGCAGCCTACAGTTCACAAAGAAGCTGGGAGCTCAGTTCCACAGAGTTAAGTAGCCTGATACAGCTGGCTTTTGAGTCACTATGTGAAAGGGTACATTTATACAGTGAACTTATGCTCTGTGCACTTAACTTGCTTTCCTTTTCTGTTGCTTGCTGCTTAGGGAAGCCTCTATCAATCTGTCTCTAAGAGGCAGAATTAGGTCTGCTTTCACCTCAGATAAATTCACTGTCTATAAAGTAAGAGTTTTTTCTGGTTTTGCGTTTGTTTTCTCTCTCTGTTTGTATCACAACCATGGTATATTTCAGTTCCTGTGCTGTTTCTCTTTATTCCTGTCGTTAGACCATTGTTTCTGTCTATTCACATCTTCCTTTGCAGGACTGTATGTAGGCTCTCTATACTGCCCTCACTGCAATGGCATCTGTAGGCTTTAAGTGCATTAAGTGGCTGTGGCAAATATGTCATGTGTGTCTTATTCTTTCTCGTCTCCCTTCCCTTAGGGGTAAAACAGCATGTGGAACAGTTTTTAAGGTGTTACATGCTGGTATGTGTTTATCTTTTCTCGCATTAATGAAAGCAAGGTCAAAAGAATCGTACTTT